CTCTCTTGTGTCGCGCTGCCAGTGGTTTGGAGATCCCTGAGCGGTGCTGTTTCTTCTATTGCAGGCAATTGTCTGTCTCACCCGCCCGAAGCTCCTCCTTCTGCGCAGCGCTTCTGCTCCCAGGGCCTCTTTGCCGCGCTTCTCCCCTCCTCCTGCTTGCGCCTCCCGCCCCAATGATGTCTGACTTCCGGCGGCCCTTGTTTGCGCACGCCTGGGAGGAGGAGGAGTGCCTGGAGTACTACGGGATGATCCCCCTGCACCGCATGTTCGAAGTGGTGGGGGCCCAGCTGACCCAGAATGACGTGGAGGTGCTCTCCTTCCTGCTGGAGGAGACGCAGCCCTGGCACCACCCGCTGGACCCGGAGCTCTGGGCAGTGGTGGCCTCGGAAGAAGGGGCTGCGGAGACTGCCTCGCCCGCCCTGCAGGGCTGGAGGAAGAAGCAGCAGCAGGAGGGGGGCTCAGCCTGGGCGGAAGGCAGCCTCGAGGGGGCCAGGGGGCTGCCCAAGGACGGTGTCCGGCTTCTCCTGGAGCTCGAGCGGAGGGGCAAGTGCGACGAAACCAACTTTGTGCAGCTGCTGCAGCTCCTGCGGGTGCTCACCAGGCACGACCTCCTGCCCTACGTCACTCTGAAAAGGCAGCGGACAGGTATGCAGCCGCGCAGGCAGGAAGGAAGTGACTCAACTTTTGACTCGCTTATTACAGTGCTGTTGCTCTTCCTTTAGTGGGAACTTAATTCTAGCTTGCAGACCAACTTTATCCAAACAGGATGGAGGAATTCCATGATGGGGCTGGCTCCTTTCACAGTTCTGGGTGGGGGTGATACTTAGCTCTCCAGCACTTGCTACCTGGGCTTGCTTTGCAGAAAGATGCTGCAGATTTGTGTCCCTGCTTCTCCCTTTGTTTGACTTATGTCACTCTTTCCCTAGTTTCTCCTGAGAGATACACTTACGGGCCGTCTGTCCTGTCGTCCGACCAGCAGGTGGACAACTGTCTCAATTCAGCCTCTGCAGAGCCTCAGAGCGATCAGTGGGAGGCAGGTGCGTGTTGGGCCGCCCAGGAAAGGAGCGGCATGCTTGTGTTTCTCCCTTTTCCCCTTCTCTACCCAGAAGTCCCTTTCTGTGAAGCCCCACAAGCAGCCTGTTTGGGTTCTTGTGTCTGTTTGTGAAGGGGACGTCTTCTGCGTTGAGCGCCATGGGGCCAGCCAGGGACCACAGCTCAAGGGAACGTGAGCTGCAATCACTGGGTTCTGATGCCCCAAGAAACTCCCAGTCTCCCTTCTTCTGTTTCCTCTAGGCTCCAGTTCCAGCAAAAGGAAACGAGTCAGCAGAGGCCGGGCAAAGTCTGCTACTCCCCGCAGGCGTCGGGGAGCCAAAGGGCCTTCTGCTCCCAAGCAGGAGGTCCAAACTCCAACCAAAGTGACTTGTGGTAAGTGTCTGCCTGGCCCGTGCTGTGTGCTCTTAGGGCTCCCTCGAGTCCTTCCAAATAATATGCCATGAGCATCTTGGGTCTCTGTTAAGGGAATGGAGTCCTAAGGGTGACTGGAGCCAAAGTGGGGGGTGGGGGTGGAGGAGGTGGCAGCCCGGTGCACATCGCTGCCAGGAAAGGCTCCAGTGGCAGGCCAGGGAACGTGGTGGCGGGCTTGCATTGTTAGGTGCAGCTGGACACCACAGGGCTCCAGTCCACTGGGAGTATGGGGATTTTAGTCCCACTCTTTGGGGCTAAGTTATCTTCTATTCCTAGTTGATTTGACTGGTTTCTATGGTTCCTATTTTCAAATGACCACAATGGTGAATTTTCTAACTCACCCATGATGATAGATAACTAAATCAGAAAAAAATTGTCCCGGGTGTATTGCATGAAACCAGCAGCTTTATGAACATGGGAGAGGGTGCCTTCAGGTTGTTAAACCCTTAGCATCAGTTGCTGGGGAAACTGGGAGCTTTTAATTCAGTGCCCTAGGGTGCTTAAAGAACTGGTCTTGGAGAGAGACGGCCTTAGCTGCTTTGAGGTCCTTTTCTATGTAAATTGGAGTCGGCTCAAGGTGGCGGATCTGATATATATTATATATTATATATATATTTC